CAACAGAAAGAACTCTGTCACATCGATCTGTAAGATCGATGACTGCGATCTGTAAGATCGACTACGATCTGTAAGATCGAAACGCAGACATAACGCCACCGAAGCGGAAGCAGTTGGAAAACAGCTCCGTATTTGCCAGGGATTCATGGCCTTTGTGTGAGATCTCCGTTGTCCTTAATATCCCGGAGGGTTTTTTTTGCAGCCCCGTGCGTGTCCGGAGTTTGTCGTTTTTGCAACTTGGAGGTCGGGTAGGGGTCCAGCTGCAAGATGAAGTTCACACGGCCGTTCGCAGCTATAGGGTCCACTCAAGGTCGTTTAGCTTTCGCTTCATGACATTTCTGACGTGGATTATCCCACCCACGATGAAGGGTTTGCCGGATTTTGTTCTTTCCCTTCTGAGGGCAGAGGCGTCTGTGACCCTCGCATTCACTTACATTCACTTCTTGACCAGTCTCCTTATGAGTACGGTCTAAGGCAACTCGATGCTTTCCACAAGCCCGCTTTGTTAGTTTTTGCTGGAATTTTGTTTATTGGGTTTGTGTAATCGTTGTGTCCAGCACAAGAGCCGCGCTGATTTGACAAGCTGCTCGCGTTGATCTTCGCATTCCTTCCGGCCTGTCAACGCCTTGACATCGGGTCCCTGCCGTGATGTCGACCGTGCAAGAGTTTGTTGCGCTCCCGGTCGACCGTTGGGAGTAGTGGTCCAACTCCGTGATGCCTGCGCAACTTTGCTGCTCATCTATTCACCGTCAGCCGGACTCAGCACGGCCGTGCAGATCATACAAGTATCGAATTAGAATATGTCGCAACGATGGCACCGAGATGGTACGGAATGATTTTTCAGATGATCCCATGACGAGGTACTTCGCGGACTTGTATTGGTTTTGCGGATAGTAGGTAGCATGCCACTGAGCGCGCATTTGAGCAGAGCCTCAGGTGCCACGACTGTGCTGAATGCACACAGCGAGATCCACCGCGGCCGGCCAAGGATCCATGCTACATGTTTCGGCTGATTCCCACGGCTCCAGCGAGATGAGTTCTCTCGAGGAGATTCTCAAGCCAGGAGTTGGTGAACTGCGCCAGGACCCCAGGTCACGGCAGGGCGAGGGACGCAGGACGCCCCATGACGCACCAGGAGGGCGCAGCGCCCGTCCTCGGGGCCAGCCGGTCTTCTCTCAAATGCGCCGCTCCCGAGGTGCCCAACCCGCAGGAATGTGGCGGCCAGGCCGGGCACCGCCGGGCACCGGCGAAGAGACACAAACGCGGTTCACGCGATCAAAACCACAAGAAACACACCCCTAAACCATCCTAAACCCTCCCCAAGCCTCCCCATCCAAGCCTCTACAAAGGAGTCAAAGGTCAGAGAATGTAGCAGCAACGAACCTTGCCCTGCGGTCTCCTTCATTTTTGGGATGCGGTGGCAGCGTACTTGGGTCTCAAGGCACCGGGCGATATTGCAGCCCCCTACATTCTGCAGGGTGCGGCGGGCGGGAAAAGCAGACTGTCCCTACTTTTTCGGTGGCTGGGCCTATCGCCCAGCCCCCTGCTACGCAGTAGGTGCAACTGTGAGCACGCAACTCTGCGAGCAATCAAGCAATCGCACAGCAAGTCCAAGCAAACATGTGCAGTCGCTCACACACGTGTCATGGAGCTATAGATCCCTCCGTGTGATCTTCGTGTTCGAGATGACCCTGGGATTTTCTGCCCAGGGCGGATGCAGCGGGGCCACGGTTGAGCTGGGCATTGGCTGGGCGGTGCAGCGCTGTGGCAGAAGTTCCAGGATGATGTTCATCAATGGCTTCTGACATCTTATCCGGGTTTTAGTGCCAGAGCTGTCCAAAGTTGTTGCAGCGACTTTGTGACGACTTTTTCGCCATCCAGCTGCTCAGGCATGGCCTGAGCTTGGAGACGTCCGTGCCATATTCGGCACAGGCTTGGAGGATGCTCTGCGGTTTCGAGATCCATCCACTTTGTCTGCATCTTCTTGCGAATGGCGAACGGCAGTGGGTGTCGGCAGTCGCAAAGCAGTGCGTTTGAGAATCGTGACGTAGGGTCAAGAGTGAAGTGCTTCCTAGCTGGTTGCACGCAAAACGCAGCTTACAGTAGCGGACCGGCATGTCTCTCGTAACACACGGGATCAGGGGCGGTGGTGCAACCTGTCAGCATAAGCCAAAGTAGTCCTCGACTAGGCTAAGCTGATGTTCCGGACTCGTGGCCACTCTGCTTCAGGATGGGACCTGCGAGAATTCCTTCCTGCAAGCACAGGCCACGAATGTGCCAGCTAGAAGTGTCTGCTCGCCTGCCGATGGGGTTTTGGACTCTGGACTGAAGAGCTTTGGTTCGCTACATAGTCCCGGCAACTGGCGAGGGCCTTCGTGGGGCCACAGCTGGAGGAGCTTCCTTTGGACTGTGTGTTGGCTGCACAGTGTCTCCTAGCTCTGTCGCACCCGTCGGGGTGCAGATCTTGTTGCATCTTTCGTCATGCAGCACATGCACTGCAAGTAAGGACCGGGTTCCGTGTGCTGCCCAGCAACAAAGAGGACGCCTCACCTTTTCTGCCCCCGTGCTATAGCAAAGCAAAAACACACCAGAGAGATGTATTGCAGCTTCCCGTCAGGAGCCACTGGCCAGGGCACTTGTCGAACTGGGTCCGGGGCCCAACTAGTGAGGCAGATAAGGACAAGCTTTGTCCAGAGCGGCGTGGGATAGCCGGGACGTGTACGCAGTCCTGAACATCAAGCAATCCAGGACCTGTGGCGGTCTCCGTGGCAGCCAGCAACTGGTTCAGCTACGAAGGCAGTTCGGAGTTAATTCTCAACGTCTTGGAATGTTGCTCCCCTGCTTTCGTCAGAACTCCATGGATCAGTGAAGCACCTCAGGCGGAGTCTTCGATGAGTGCGACAACATCGTGAATCACGACGCTGGGCGGCATTCGCAGCACCGAGTCTGAAACCGCAAACCAGGCTTGAGAAAGTACTTCCATGTCGAACGGCTTAGGATGTTCTAGGGTTGAAATGGAACAGCTGGGTTGTTTCAGAGACGGAAGTTCTTTCTGCATGGGTGCTCTGGGCAAGCACTGGGCCGTATGCAGTTTTCCTGCGAGATGATCTGGGAATCGGGATGGTGTCATGGTTTGTACAGGCGGCCACAAAAGCAGCCTAAAACAACGGGTTGCACGCTGGTGGAACCTTTGAGAGCTTCATCTCTGACGCTAGCAGCCTTGCGAGCTGAGGCTGTTGCGCTCTACGGATACGGAAGGCTGTCCAGGGCTTCTGGCCAAGCCAGCCTGCATTGAACATTGCTTCTCGTGCAGGAGCGACGGCCACCGTTTCTGGCTCGTGAAGAACTCCTGGGGTTCGGACTGGGGCGAGAACGGCTGCTCGCTGCATTTTCCCAACCATGGTGAGCAGGACAGAAAACCGCAGTCGACACTGCTCTGCTAGTGGAGGGCGTCATCTCAGCTTCTGCACCTACACATCCTGTTGAACAGCAGAAAAGAGGGTTTTTCGAGTTGGCGGTTGCAAAATCAACCTGCAAGCTTCGGCCTTCGGCCGGATCACTCGTCCGTGTTGCTACGGCTAGTGCTGTTCCTGTTCGCTTCGGATGAGGCTACATCCGCCTCCTGCGGCATGACAGCGAGGACCAGCACTGCGGTATTGACACCGAGCCGGACAAAGGCCAGAGCCTCGGTCGTGGGATTCTGCTTCTGTTCACGTCTCAATGATGATCATGGCAGCTCCGTGTAGTTGGTCTGGTGAGTAGGATTGAGTAGAGGGCGTCCTAGTAACATTACGCCCTGCCTCAGTGCCAGGAATCGCTTGCAAAGGCGGCCCGAAGGAGGTCACGGCATCTCGGCAAGATCTTGAAACCACTTCGTTCGATTGACATACGGAAGCTCCGCTTGTGAAAGTGTGCCACAGTCCGAAGGAGCCAGACGAAACTTAACATGTGCAAAGTTGGCAGGCAAGCTACGCTGTAAATGCAGCTCCTTAGGCTTTGGGCTTGGGTTTGATTGGCCATGCCAGAAGCGAGTCCACCCTGCAGCAAGGTGTGTGGCACATGCGGAATCCTCTATGATTCTGTCGTGCCACAGAGCCTTGGCTACAATGCAGCAGACGGATCTTGAAGCTTGACCATAACAAGTAACAAGCATGCTTTCCCTTCGAGAGCCTGTTTCGAGGTTTGAGGATGCGAAAGAAGCATAGAGGCCCTGCAGGCTCGGCTTTACAGTTTGGCAAGAGCATGCCGCATCTGTTCAAGGGGTGTATCGATGCGGAATGCAGTCGCTGACGGTGCCTCCGAAACGCAACATGGTTGCAGGCTGCATCTTGAATCCGGATGCTGGCGTGATCAATCCCTGTGCAGCTGCTTGTGCTATTCGCCCTGATGCACAGCTAGCTACACGTCACCATTTTCATTTAATGTGATGCTGCATGCGGTAGTTCCCAAAAGGAACGATTCCGCAGCTAGCGTCCAAGTCTTTGTTGCCAGAACTGGAAGAGGGCTTTTGATACTGGCCACATCAGATTCCCGTCCATTGTGTGGCGTTCCTGCCTGAGGTTCTGCTGTTTAAGTACCCTTGGGTGGTCGCTCAATGCAAGGCATTATGGGAAATGACAGAACCTGAAGAGTTAACCTCAGTCTGGGAAAATGAGTTCTGATGCCCCAGAACTATTTCATTCCATCGCAGATGGGGGCTTCAAGTTCCGAGCAGAAAATCCGCATTCTAAGCCTTGCTGCAGGTTGCTCTCTCAAGGATTGCTCTCCCAGCTGTCAGAACGAATGACGCATGCTACGGCTTCGTAAGCTCTTCGACAACAGAAGTTTGGCAGGCTGTTGTGACGTGCCAGCTGGCCCCTAATGATGCATCCAGATGGCACAGGAACATAATGGCTCTTTATCGTGACAGAGTTGTGTCGACTAGAAGCCATCACAACATCCCAACCCACATAGGCCCAGAGCGACAAGTTGATGCAAACTTTTTACGTACCCCGTGGGAGGAGCCCCCGGCGTCGTGGCGTGGACAGCAGTCCCAAGGCAGCGGATCTCAGCGGAAGGAAATGACCCTGACATCTTCGCAGCTCCAGGTGAACAGTTTCTCCCAGCGAGAGGCTCAACGACGCACCAATCTCCGACAGAGGACGACATGTGATGTGGCTCCTCAGTGCCCAGGAAATAGTTCTGTCTTTGCTCCCACTGTGGATGTGTGTGCTTCTTCTGCAGCTCTTCGGCAGCAGGACCAGCAACACTGGAGATAGGACTCCTCGAAAAAGCGCTCTTCGGCGCCGCCACTCCGAAGTGATCCGGCTGCATTCCGCTGTTTAATGCTTTCTGTCTCAGATCGGCTCTGTGTCACTGGTGTCACAGGCCTGAGGGCTTTCATTGTGGTTTCAAGCCACTTCGGCAGTATGCTTGAATGAAATCTGCGAGTGTAGAGTTCGGGCCCCAATCGCGCTTGACACTCATCCTACCCTATACTGCTTGACATGATGCAGTGCATGGGTAGGGTTTATGACGTGCGTTGGATGGGGCCCTGGGCAGGTAGGGCTTGTACGGGGAAGCCTCCGCTCTTTGGGTCCGACCCGGCAGGCTCCGCATACCACCGGGCCAGGCTCGAGTACAGAGGTTCGGGTCCCAGACTCCGGCCCGGAACCTTGACAGGTCGTTTTTGGTACTTGTATGGTAGGGTTGACGTGACTCTGTCGCCGAACAGAATCAGAATCGGAGCTTCTAACTGGACGGTTGTATTTTTGCATTCAGTGCACACATGTGCACACTGCCATACTAGTCTCAGTCAGCCGGACACCCTGTCGCAAGAGCGAGGGGACTTAGACTCCGGACACTGTGCAGCTTCGTCTAAGCCCTGCAAGATTGGCCTCCACACCGTGGCCGTCAAGCTCGACGGGTTCCACCAAACTCCTATGGTCCCTGGGCGAGTAGGTTGGGTCGGAGGTTGGCTTCAGGTCCGCACTTTATGTGTGGTGATGGGGCTTATTGTACGATGTGCTCGGATGCAATAGCCTTTTTCAAGATCCCCGTCAGGATGGCCTGTACAGAAGACGTCTGGTGCCGAGGGGCTCTGCCTGTTTCCCACGTGCTGTACTTGTAGAGACGAGACTTCAAAGCCGTCAGTTGGCGCGCAGTTTGCTTCTTTCCGCCGAGGTGACACTGTCGTGATTGCGGACCATCCGACTTTCTTCCACACACAAGGCCAACACGATTTCGGGGATAGCTTTTGCAATCATTTCATTGGTGCATGCTCGTATAGCTTCCCAGCGACAACCCTTTCGTCTGAGGTGACAACATGTTCCTGTACAAAAACAAGTCGGAACGTGTCTTGGTCGGCGCTAGATCTCCGCGCTAGATCAACGGCAAATAAAGTTCTGAGTGATATGCTTCGCAGCCCAGTGTCTCCACTGGCTGGGGAGCTGTGACAGGGTGTGCAACGTAGTTGGTCCAACGGCCAGACTTGTGTGTTAATTCTTTCATGAAAGCTCCTGCTCGCCATGAAAGCATGCGAGGATGGGCAATCTCTCCAACATCCCTTCGCAGCAGCCTGAAGAGATCTCCTTCCAGCCGACACACATGCGCTTTGCTCAGCAGGCAACGAGGACTTGGTGGAAGCCGCCAAGCAAGGCGCAGAGCCACAGAGCACGCAGAGCACGCAGAGCGCAGAGTTGGCATGGGCTGCGGCTTTGCAGGCGAGCAGCAGGGCCTCGCCTGCCAGAAGGTTCCGAATTCGCAGTGTGAGTGGAGTCGATTTTGCCAGGTGTGCGCAGGTACGGGTGAACAGAGATGGTAGCTTGGGAGTTGAGCCCACGCCACACAGCAGAAGTATGCAGAAGTAGATAGAGAGGGACTATGCAGGAGATGACAGTGTTTGGATCCGGCAGCCCCCTCCAAATTTGATTTTCGTAGCCCTCTATCGCAACTGACCGCAAGTTGAAGCATATATATGATATATAAAACAGGCTCGCAGAATTCGGCTGCTCCCGATGCTTCGTCCATGCCGAGAGATGTGTCCAGGCCACGGGCAGTCGAATGGATGGCACATGGATTGAGCCGCTCGGACTTCACGGGGCAGGACCCAATTTGTGGCCTGGTAGATGTGAAAGATGCGTTGGACTCATGGTTTGTACCGGTGTTGACAGGATGGAGGACAGCTTTCGATCGCTTCGGGAAGGTGTGACGATGACAGACGCAGATGCTCGCTTGACACCGTGCTTGATGTAGCAATGTTCTCGTTCTGCGCCCTGCGCTCAACGGAAACTCAGCTTGCCAGAATCGGCCCTGTGGATACCGACAGGCCGAGAGTAAAGCAAGTTCGAGTCGCGCAAGCTTCGGGGCACTCATGCCTTAAACTAGCCGAAAGTGGTCTTCGACATGCATGGCACACGAGCTGTCGCAATGAAATTTGGCGAACCGATGACACCGATGATTGTGACGATGACAGACCAACGATGAAGACGATAAAATTACGATACCCGGCTGGACGGCAACAGACACTCGCTCTGCGGGCTGCTTCAGCGGTAGGTTCGAGGTCGAAACACGGCTTGTCGGAGTCTTGCGAAGCTTTGTCCACATGAGGTTCTTGAACAAGCGCTGGGTGGACGTGAAGCTGAGTGCAAGAGCCTGAGATGTTGCCTTCATGTGGCTGTGCTTTTTGCTGTGCACAAATCAGCGACCAGGGCTCGCGTGACAGCCTTTGCTCTCATAGCCCGGTAGCCCTTCATCACATTTCGCACCCGTGAAACCACATACCTTCGCCAAATTCTAGGTCCGCACTTTCAACTTTGAGGAGTATGAGTGCGGGACTTAGTTGGATATTGACCGAGCCGGAAGTTGTGTCAGTACGTCCAGCCATGCGGTGTATCGGATTTGCCTGACACATGCTGCACTGCACATAGCACAAGAATCCAGACTGGCCCAGTGAGACATCCATGGAGGTGCAAACACACTCCCCCTCATTCACAGAATTCATCCAGCAGTCCAGAGAGCTTGGACTTGAGAGTTCTTTGCTCAGAAACTTTAACGTTTTCGAGTGGAGCCCTGTTACTGGTCACAGAAGCAATGCACAATGCTAGGGTCCTAGGTTTTGGGCAAAGGCTTATCGATGGACAGCGGAAGTTGTGAGCCAGGAGTGGCACGGTGTGGAAGTGGATACATCTGCTTTCAGATCTCGACACTGGAACGCATGTCTTGTGCCGTAGTTGGTAAACTCCCCAGTGTTGGCTGTTGTGTCTGCCCTCACCGTGCCGAGGCGACATGCACTGGGCCGCCACAAGCGGGCGGCACCGCTGCCACATCAACCGAAGGCACAAGAGACGGCCAGCTGCCAGCGCTGTGACATGAGACGACCCGACCGGCCAGGTCTCGTTCCCGAACGGTCCCGGGGTCACCAGACCGCGTGTGCAGCCGCTGCCACCTAGGTGGGCTCGGCTCGCTTGTGGACTTCTTGAAGAACTCCAACAGTCGGATTTTCTAGACTCGCGAGGCCCGCCACTGTTCAGGAGCCTGAGCTCACTCCGGAGCCAGTGGCCCAGGGAGTCTACCGGCACCCACCAGAGCGGCGGGGGATGCGGCATATGCGGCACGCAGTGAGGCAGCTGCTATGGCAGATCCAGCAAGAAGTCAGGCGCGAGGACCGTGACGAGAAGCGGCGCCGGGAGCCGGCTGCCTGGACTTCTCGTTGTGCTGCATCTGCATACCACTGCGCTCTCGGTCTGCTGAACCTCTGGAGCTGGAGCTGAGGCAAGCCAGACAGAAAGCGACCAGGCGCAGGGAGGAAGTTTTTGTCGGCATGAGGGTGTGCGAGGGGGAACTGGAAGATGTAATCGGACGGAGAAAGCGAGCATGCTGGGTGCAAATCTTCAGGGCACTGTTGTGGCGTGGCCGGTTCTGTTGAAGACATGGAATGCATGTGATGCAGTGATGAACATGTGGATCAGTCTTGTTCAGAAGAAGTACCACCGTTTCTGCATATTTTCAAGAAGCAGTGTTTGGGTAGGGCCCTCACGCTCGCACACATGCACTTTCGTGTTGTGAGATGCGCAAGCGATGTTTCTGATGCAATATCTACAAAGTCCAGGCAACTCAAATGCCGAGCCTTTGCAGCCAACTGTCATGCAAGCGTGCGAAAGCAAGCTCGAATCGCCACGGCAGAGTAGCTATTTCAAGGACCAGTCAACGTGGGGGAAGTGAAGGTACGTGCAATTTGTGCATACGTCAATTACATGTAAACAGAGTGGCAAACACTCCCCCAAATCGTGGCTGCTAGAGTTGCTGGAATCTAGAAACCACGAAAGTCAGCGTGCCTGCTCAGTCCGGCGATGTCCACGGCAGGCCTCCATGAGCAGGCACAGTTCATGTTGGCTCATGGTGTGCAGCTTTGCAAGCCCTATCAAAACGAGAAAGAACAGACACCGTGCGGTGGACCTGCTCATGTCGAGTCGCGAAGCAGCAAAAAGGTCCTGACTGGATCTGGAGCCAATGAATGTATGGCCTCATCCTTCGTTTCGCGAGATTGCAGAGCATCAGCGACTGTTGATGGTTATGATACGAGAGTCGATTGAGCTGCGTGATTTTGTAGGCTCGCCTTCCCGGTCTCCTCGCATTGCAAAAGAAAATAAGCGCTCATCTCGATGTAGAGCCTGATGTTTGAGGCTGCTTACCTGATGAACAGATGTTCGTGCAGGTAACGCCGGGCCTGTTACTCTGTGGAGTAATTAACTGTTCCACTGAACCTCACAACAGCATTCCATAAATCGCCTGCGAATGACAGCTTCTGAAGTGTCTCCGTAGCTGCGTTGTCATCGGTCAAGTTCAGAGTGCAGCATCTGGCTGTGCAGGTATTTGGGGCCGCGGCCGAGACTGCCCTCCCTAGGCCAAGCAGTAGGCAGTGCTCTCTGAATTCAAGCAGAAGCCCAGTTGCCAGCTGCACAGTTCCTCGGCGTCGGCGGCTGCTGCCGCCAAGGTTCACGACGTCCAGGGTTTGGTTTTGAGGTTCGCAGGCTTTCGGCAAAGCGGTGCAGGCGTCCGCACTGCTGACTGCGGCGTCGGTGATGCCACCACCCGTCGAGGCAGCACCCGCAGTAGCACAAGCCAAGCTTGAAGTCTGCAGTAGACATCGGCAGTGAGCTTAATGGCATATGGGCTTTACGTCTCAAGGTTCTGTTATTCACACAATATAATGCTTTCAATGCAGGCTCGGCCAATCTTTCGTGATCAGTCCGTACGAAGACGTGCAGATGACTGCAAACATGCTTCACTAGGGGCTTGGCTTGCGCGTATTCAAAAAGCACGAGGCACCAATGTAGGCAACTGACTGCAGGCTCGTGACAAGGATCGCCTGCATCTCCGAATCTTCTTTGCACAGGCATCCCCACTTTTGGCTGCTGCCTCAACAATGGCAACCCCACCAAAGATGGTGCCGGAGGCCTCGTGTGCGGGACGTGAAGAGGAGCCTGCTGCCAAGATAGGCTCAAACATCGAAGGACTCCACGCTGCTGTCTGTGCTGACGTCCCAGTCAACACCGCCGCCGCCACCCCAGGTAGGGCCTAGGCTTTGTGTTCGGCAAATCTCGGTGCTGTGACGAGTGTGCTGGGCATCGGATGCGATTGCAGGACACGTCGAGAGTATCTTCATCGCTAGCATCCAAGCCCGAAGCAAGCGGCGCGACGGAGGCCATGAACATCTGACCGGAGCAGAGGCACGAAAGTCATCGGATGTCAGGCGCTTCCGACACCCATGCCCAGTGTGGCTTTACAGCCGCCGATCGTGACCGAGGCCTGCGCATGCACTTGTCACCACAGAAAGATCTGTCGCAACCAGGCACAGCCTCTCAAACCAACGCAAGAGGACAATCCCGTGCCAGTGCGGTGCCCTAGCACGAGCTACCGAAATGATGATGGGTATATCCAATTACATGTCAAACTTTGCCGTAAGCGCGCAGCGCTTTGACCGGTCCCAAACTTCGTCACACTCTATGTTGTTCACTTGCAACAAACCCGTCCAAAACCCCTTTCCCCGTAGATTCCTCCACAAGTCCTCCGCCCGGAACAATTATAGTATTATACGATTTCATTGCGGGAGGGTAATTCCTCCGCTAGCCAGGCTAGGGTATTCCTCACTTCCTGTACTCCGCGTACTCCGTTTAGTGTCTCTAGCGGATGCGACGAAACTTTAATTGCCCGGCATGTTTAGGTTCTTCCTTCGATGTGCATTGCAAGGCATCTGCTCCAGCTCAACAGGCACGGGCACCGCTTTGCATTGTGGGTAAGGGTAGTTCTTCGTACCGATACATAATATTCTTGCCCTGATGTCTCCAACAGGGTAAGCTTCTCATTAGCTTGTCCTGGGGAGCCCGAAGGCCGGGGAGGTCAGGCATTCATCCCGTCGCTGTCAGTGACTGCCATGCTCCATGCTCGTGTTGCAACAGGAAGTGCCGAACGTCCCAAAGACGCCTCCGAAGGCAACGGTTGTGAGCCTCTGAGCCTCTGCAGATCTCTTCAGCCAAGTACGCACTCATGTTCTTGCTACGGACGCAGACCCGCCGTGAATTCGGAGGCAAAGCCGTCCTTCCCAAAGCGATGGAGCTATCCAGGCTGCACCAGCAATTGAAAGTCAAAGGCGAATCTAGCCTGCTTTGCCAGTGTTCGAATGCTGTTCATCGTGGTTCCAGCAATCATGCGTAGCAACTCCAGAAAGAGGAGGAATGAGGAGCAAAGAAGGAGCAGGAGAGCACCAGCAGGACGTTGAATCTAATCCGTGCCGCGAGCCGGGGATCTGCACAGGCGTGCGTGTTTCTGTTGTAGAGGACAAGATGGCTGAGACTCCAGTGGGGGAGGTGATAACAGCAGCAGCAGGAGCAGGAGCAGGAGCAGGAGCAGGAGCAGGAGCAGGAGCAGGAGCAGGAGCAGGAGTAGTAGTAGTAGTAGTAGTAGTAGTAGTAGGAGGAGGAGGAGGAGGAGGAGGAGTAGGAGTAGGAGTAGGAGTAGGAGTAGGAGTAGGAGTAGGAGTAGGAGTAGGATTAGTAGTAGTAGTGTTAGTGGTAGTCGTCGTCGTGGGGTGGTCGCAGTGGTGGTGGTGGTGGTGGTGGTGGTGGTGGTGGCGGTGGTGGTTGTGGTGGTGGTGGTGGTGGTGGTAGTGGTAGTTGTAGGGGTAGAAGTGGAAGCTGTGAGTTTCAGGGTTTTCGAGGTCAGTTTCCGTGCATAATTTCGGGGCGGAGTTTTTGGGCCATGGCCAGGACAGTTTCGGATCAGGGCCCACCCCGTGGCAGACCAGCGCCCCGAAACTGGCCCCGACTGTGCTGAAACTGGGCCCCGAACTGCTGCTGCCTGATCCTAAACTCCCAGCAGCCGATCCGAAACCATGGGTACCCGACTAGAAGCAGGAGTAGGAATAGCAGCAGCAGCAGTAATGAGATACAGCAACGGCTACGACGACGATAACTACTGCAATTGTCGCAGTTTCTGTTACTACTGGTTCACCGGCTGGGTCGGAGACACTCCTGCTTGCAAGGCATGTTCCGGTTACTCGCTCCGAAGCTTGCCATTCGAAGCTTCGTTGGTGCAGGGGATGACAACGTTGACTCTTTCTTGGAAAAGCTCCGCGGAAAGGCCGGCCGACGGCTGGTCACCAGCAAGACGCGAGCTTTCCACGTTTCCCCGACCATGCTGCTTGAATGCCGGTATGACGTCCAGGCGCCTAAGCAAGCAGCTGACAAAGATCAGCAGGCATCTCAGATCTTGCTCAAGCTTGGAAGGGCTAGAACAATTTCGAGAGCATCCGACACCACAGCAATGCAGCATTCGATACATTCGAGAGTTCTTCTGGTTGCCATGTTTCAGTGCATAGATATTACCGAATGTTTCAGAGCAGATTGTGCAGGAGCCTTGCATTGAATATGTTGAGTTGCAGACTTGCACAGACTCAAGCCTCGAAGACTGAGGCAGTGGCAAGATAGCAGGAACTCGAGGCAACGGCACGCCCGACGCTTCGCCCTCGCTGCTGTTTTGCACACCGGAAACATGCCGCTCACTTGGACAGGCAGGATGACGAGCAAGAGCTGCTCAGATGCAGCCGGATTTTGCCGGCCAGAGATGTCGGGTGGGCTAGAGGTTTGTAGAGGTTGGCCACGAACGAAGCTTTGGCTGACAACCGGCATGCTACTCCTCAGCCGAGGTGGGATTGGTCCAGCCAGACATGGTGGGATGAGTGGAATGACGAGTCGTGGAAGCGGCATGAGCGGTGGAGTGCGAAGGACACAGGTGACAAGCAGTGGCTGAGGGCTCAGACGGCTCAGGCGGCTCAGGCGGCTCAGCTTTGCGCTTTGGGCCGTGCGGATGTTCAGGTTCGAGCCGAAGGATTCATGGTGGACCTGGGAAGGCGCCTTTGCGCTCCTCATACGTCGTACCGTCGTACTTCATACGGTGCTTATTTCGCTCATGGCCCTTTCCAGACCGCGGATCCGCATCCTGGAGCCAGACCTGGAACAAGCAGAGCTGGAAGTCAGAAGAGGCCCGGCATCGACATGAGGCGAACGATCCAAAGACGGAAGTTGAGTTGCCAGGACGACGAGAGCTGGGGAAGATGGAAAAGTCTCGAGCATGGAAGTGGAAAAGGTGGAGGCCCAAGAGAGCGGGTATCCGAGCGCGGCACACTTTTGCTGCCCTGTGCTTTCCCTTTGCCGCTTGCTTCAGCACTTGGAGGCTGGACAGAAGCGGAGCAGGCAGGCAACCGCGCTAGCTTTGGGGGCAACTGTTTTAGCGGCTGGGAATGGTGCATCTTTTCCCGAAGTCAGCTCCAGCCTGTGCTCCCATTCTTCCACCTGCTTGGACTCATTCCGATATTTCTGACCAATACATTGACGCCCCACGGCGAATTCATGCGTTCAAGGAATGCCTGAGTGAGTCGCCCTCACAGTCAGCGCCCGCCTTCTTCCACCGAAAGTCCGAGTCATTGCCTTGATGACGCTGGATGGCACACAGGCCGAAGACAAGAAACCCAAGGACAGCAAGGACGGCAAAGAAAAAGCGAAAGAGAAGAAGGCTCAAGCACTTAGCATCATCTGCTTGTTGTGTTTTCATGAGCAGTTGAACGTCGAAATAACTCCGCTGGCATGTCAGTGCTGTTGATGCAGACGCGACTACCGCTTCAGCCTGCACACTTGCCGTTTCCGTAACCGAAAGACAACAGACCTGTCGGAGGACAAGAAGGAAGACAAGAAAGACAAGAAGGCATTACGTGTTGTGCGCCGGTGTGACCTGCAAGCGGTAACATGTCGTCAAGATGTTTGGCAACACTAGCAGTCCCTGCTAGACCTGCTGCATCAAGGTAGGAGCTTGTTCAGATCTGCGAATGCCTCAATTTGGCTCGTAGCAGCAGACATGTGCAGGTGTATGGCATCGCACCACGGTTCAATTCCCAATCGGCAAAACACATGGATATGGAGCCATGCTCTATCAGCTAGCAGGTATCGAACCCAACGATTCTTTGCAACTAGCAGCCTTTGGTGTGCAGCTGCGGCGGCGACTGCCCGATGGATCCGATACAGGCAGCGGCACAGTCTTTGAGCGATGCAGTAGAACTTTGCGAGACACGGAAGCAGAGGCTTGGAAGCTGCAGCAAGCGCGCTTGGGGAGCAAGGCCGAATTTAAGCCCAGAACGGCACCGGCACAGTCATCAGACATCTTCACACACTGTGCAGGAGAAGACCTTAGAAGAGCTTCGAAGCTCCCAGGCACGATGGTCAGTGGCCTTTGCCGCTCAGTTCGAAGGCTTCATTGCACGATTGCACGTCTAACCTTTCTGTACCCTCCAGCAAATCAACAGCAATAGTGCGATGCCTCGCACCTGAGGACATGTCCGACGAGGATCTGCGGGGGTCAGCGAAATTGAGAAGACGAGTTATTGAGACTTTCCGGGTTGTCTGATCGCAGTCATTCCTGACACCTCCAGGACCAAGACGGTCTTATCACGGAGAGTGAATGCAGCAAGGCGTTTAAGAGGCCTGGGTGCCCGCCAGAGTCTTTGTGGGGTCTCCTGTCGTGAGTTCGGTGCTTTCATTTTGCAGCATCAAGATGCCCTTGGCCGGAAATCCACTTTCCTCGCTCTGCTGGTCAGGATTCTCGGAGCCAATGCTGAAATGCCGAAGTACCGGCTGAAGGTGGCAAGTGCACCGGCACTTGCGAACCACGTGCAAACCTTGAAGCTGGATGTGCCTTTGCTTTGAGGAGATGTTTGACGAGATGGACGTGCTAGGCAGCAGGGAAGGGCAGCTCTCAACCACACGGCATGCTCCTCCATTCTGCTTCACACTCAGCCCTTCCTCGGTCAGGAAAGCAAAGGTTGGACTTCCGCCAGTTCCACAAGTTGGTGCGCTGGGTCATTCTTCTTTCTGCATCCGCTTCGTCACGGGAAGGGTGTTGGTTTCAAGTTGATTTGGAAACCCGCATGCTAGTAATAGCACCGCATGGCTCCAAAGGAAGAGACCTTGCAGTCTGACTTCTGTTTCTTCAGTTCCAGACAAGTGGCCGGAGCCGAATATCAGACACGCTGATGTTCCATGTGGGTCATTTGGGTGAGTCGAGTCTGTTGGCGTTTCGCCAAGAGCCAATTTCTGTCTTCAGATCTTGTTGTGTCGCGCACACGCCCGGAAGCAGGATATGCACTGGTATGTTTGCGCGCGAAGGCCGCAGAGCTTTCGCAGTACATGGCCGACAACCCAAAGTGGGCCAAAGAAGAGGTCCAGCAAGCAGAGCAGTCATCGTGGAATTGCAAGCTTGTTTACGTATTTCATCGCAGGATGCACTGTCCGATGGGTTGGCACTGCCATGTCCATCATCACTGTGGGGCGAAATGTCTGCAGAATTCTTGTGTTGGGTTGCAGGAAGACAAGGCCGAGAAGGAAGAGAAGTTGAAACAACAGCAGCTTCGTGAACGTGCGAAGAGCGATGCTTCCGATGCAGGGATGCCCACACCAGAGAATTTGCGTGGGTAACCTTGATTGTCCAACAAAGTGGGCGCGGTGAACGGATGTGACGAGCGGTTTGTCAATCTGTACTAAGACTAAGAAAGTTGAGCCCATAGCACTTTGCTTACTGGCTTCCCTCCCACCGTATTTTTGTGTTGTGTTTTCTCTCAGGTCTTTGCAATTCTTGGCATAGCCAAGTCCAAGGCGGGCCGCGGGTGTGCTCGGAGGATCTTTTGCTGATGTGTCAGCACGAATGCCAGGACGTCCAGGAGACGGAGCAAAGGAAAAACCTGGAGCCGCCCTGAGCTGCGAAGAAGCCCTGAGCTGCGACGAGTGCCCGACTGCAGGCTGTGAAGCAGGCCAACGAGGCCAAGGAGATGCTGAAGGCTTGGAGCCGCCTTGGAATGCCTTGGAGCCTTCTTGGAGCCCTGCCGCCTCTGCTGCCGTTCTGCCATTCGCTGCCATCGCTTCTCGTCCGTGGAGGCTGCGGGGCAACAAGTCCTGGAGCCAAAGCATGCTCGAGACTCTCGCGGCCGGCGCTTCACGTCGGAGCCCTCCTCCGCGTTAAGGGTGGAAGCGGGCTACTCGAAAACCGGGCTTCAGGCTACTTTAAGGCGCATTCTGAGAGCTTCTGCTCTCCGTCCCTAGGATGGAAGGAGTTCTCATTTGCTGACCCCACAGGTGTCATGTTCCTCCTACCTTGGCTGGCTCCGCACCGACCTCTGTTGTGAGGACGGCACCATCAGCCCCACGAAGAAGCCGACGGACGATCCAGGCTCTCCTTCAGGTGCCGCTGCAGAACTGATCTTCAGACGGATGATGTCAGTCACTCTAGTCGCGGATGACGACCGAGCAGGGTTATGTGAGAGTTTCCATTGCTTGTCGCCTGACTGTTGACCAGCCCGGATCACATCCGTCACTGTCAACCGACGCGCCGGACGAACTGGCGGCCGCCGTGCTGCTCGTCCCAACAGCAGAGACGATCTCTTGTCAGCCTTTTTGTCTCGGAGTTTGCATGTAGGAAGCATATGGAACCATCATTGGCACATGGACTTGTTTTGGTGAAGATCGAGGCAACTGTGGATCCCTCCGCGGACCGAGCAGGGTTGTTGTTTCAGCGGGTTTCAACTCCAGTCTTCGGGATGAATCCGACGCCGGCTCATGCTGCGATACTGCTCGTGCCTGCACCGATTTGCAGATGCCTGAATGGATTGCCTTGCACTCATGGTTCATCCAGGAGGTCTCAAGAGCAACATAGAGCAATCCAACAGATCACGAAGAAATGGTGACCACACTTCCACATGCAACGCATCGAAGCTCCTCAATTCCTTCATCCTCACAAAGCACAGTTTCATCTAGTCAAAAGTGCCATGGCGCGATCGCGGTCTCCGCGGCGTAAAGTGGACACCGTCAAGCTGACGAGTGTCCCGACTCGCATGACAGGGTCATCCAATATGGCCTTTCGAAATTTGCTGAATATGAAGAGTATCGATAGCTTGTGTTTTGAGTAGATTTCCTGTTTTACAGTATTGGCTGGTGCAGAATGTACGGTGTCGTCGAGCTCATCACATCTGACATGTTGACATCTTGAAAGACAAAGGCCAAATTGCTGGCTTCGGGCGCTACCCGGCGAATCGCCCACCGGGTTTGCGCGTGCGTGATGGCCGCGAGGGTAGCAGCATGGAGATTCAGAACTTGATGAATCGCTGCTGCAAGCAGTGTGGCGATGCATTGGGCACGTTGACACCAAGCGTTCTTTTCATTGGCGGCGTTTCCTCCTGACGCGAGGGAATGTTGGGGTGATGCTGCGGGCTTCACGACGTCCGAGGTGCGCCTCTGAAGAGTCCTTCTTAGGAGTCCTTGTCCGGGCATCACAGATCCGCCGCCACAGCTGTTTAAAGTTTGTTGGCTGCAGGCTAGTGACACCGTCGTGACATGTCGTGACCGTACTCAGTACTCTGCCTTCTGAAATTCTGAAATAGTGTCAACAGCAAAAGCCAGGTGCTACAGGCCATCAACAAGCACATGTTCCGTGACAATTCTGGAGGATCGCTTCGTTTCGGCCTTACGCGCAATGAGAACGAGGACAGACATTGAAGAAGCGAAACAGACAGAGCCCTCAGTTAGTTCACTATTGGCGCATGAACTCTCGCAGGGTCTCGAGATACAAGTGTTCCCCAGCCAGAGAACCTTGGTTGCAAAGCCGACGATCCTTTGTAGTGCCTTTCGTGTGCATCAGCAAGGTTATCAAGGTTGAACTGCAAAACGTCGTCAGCCTCACTCTGCCTTGCAACTCAAAAGCTGGGCCGCCAGAATGCTACTTGTAGTGCCTTCATGTATCGGGCAGCAAGGAGTTGGCTCTTTAACACCTCGGTCGACACCCCGTTCCACACCTTGTTCGACGCCACGTTCGAATTTCGGTGGAGGAGGCTGGATGAAGGAGGCCGACGGCTGGGCAAGTGACGCTCTCTGTGCCATGTGCCTCACGGGCATTCACCCGTACTTGATCGTACTTGAATCCGGGAAAGCAGCATACCCACCGCACATTGCACTGCAGATTTCGCTCCCCACCTCTTGCCAACCCAAGAGGTCAAATTTGGAAGGAGTGTCGCTGCATGGCACCTTTGTCAAAAATGCTCTACACGGTGGTTTAGGCATTTGCATAAAACTGTGACATGAACACCATCAGCACAGGCAGCCGTCGCTCACTGTCGTCGGCCCGGCATGCCGAACAAACGGGGTGTTGGAGGTTTCCGGAGGGGCCATAATATCATGGAATCCGGTCAAGCACGCGTGCAAGGCATTTGTCAACATTGGTGTTTTCCCCCGCCCTATGGCTAAGTTCTGCGATGCGCACTGTCCGGCCCGGAATTGCAACAAGTTCACGCGCTGTAGACATGCCGAGACATTGTCAAGTCCGCCAAGCACTGAAGTTCTGTAGCATTGTAGCATCAATCTTGTCGGCCGCTTCGTTTTCGCTGCCTTCTACAGGAAGATGGTGAAGATCGGCGAGAGGTGCAAGTCAACCTCTGTCAGCCTGCCACTGCTGCTCCGCATACGGGAATTGCTGGACGAATGACTCACTACTTCCAAAGAGCTTTGATGCAGGTGCCGGTCGCAGATCGCTGGCGGCCGCAGCAAAGAGACACGTCTGGACTGCACTTCAGAAAGATTCAACACGGTCTGCATTGTAAGATATGTGCCTCCAGGCGAGCATGTGCAGCACATCTGGCCCTTTGCATCAATTTTGTTTCATGGCAGGAA